AAACTCCATTCTATCTTGCTGGTGTCCCTGAAAAGGCAATCTATGGAAGATTTGCTTATTCACCAGCACATGTTTTACAGAAAGCCGACAAAATGGCTTTGATGAAGTTATTGATCTGTCACTAACCTCAGACAAATAGATAACAACCTGAAGCCTAGCAGAGCTGGCCAAGTAATGCAGCGCTGCATGTGGGCACTGGCATTAGCTGAATGGCTGTTTTTGGCAGGATAAGGAGTGGCAGCCGGACAACTAGCAGACGTGCTGCTGTGAATAGAAAAACCTGTACAATATGACCAACAGTCATGCCTTGGTGTGAAAAGTGTGTCTACCTAAAATGGCTAAATGTGAATGTATATACTGGTCTGAACTAATTGTAAGTATATCACTGGAAAACTGCATGTGAGGGTGGTGAAACATGCGTGTGTTTATATGTTTTGAGGGGATGTGTAGATAAGTCAGAGGTCTTTTGGTGGCTTAAGCAGTGGTGTTTATCATAGTAGTTCATTTTCACCTAAACAAACTTATAATCCTAGAGTCTGATCAGCTGTATGAAAGTCTACATCTGAAATCACTTCTGCTTCTGTACAATGACCAAGAGCAGTTACCTACAGGGCAACATTCAAGTAATATCCATTCCTATGAAACAAATACTTCTGGTTCTAAAAGCTGATTGGCTGAGTCTCATTTGAAGCCACTGAAAAATACTTGATGTAGAGGCATATGATCACCTGCATCAGTTAAATTCTGCAATAGTGTAGTAAGTACTCTCTGAACACTCAAAGAACCCTTTGCATGATTAAAGAGGTCTTTGCATTGTGAAAGGGTTCTTCAGATTGATAAAGAATGTGCTGGAGATGGTTCTATATAGAGCCTTTTTGAAAAGGTTCTATATAGCACCAAAAAGTATTTTCTAGAACTGTTTTGAAAAAGGTTCTATATAGAACCTTATACAACACATTTCCAATGAATCTGAAGATCCATTTGACCATGTAAAGGACCATAAGCATGCAAATGGTTCTTTGAGTGTTAAAAACTATGGCAGAACACTTTTTGGTGCTATATGGAACCATTTTCATGAAGACAACACATTCTCCATCAATCTGAAGAACACTTCAAGAACAAGAACTCTTCAAAGGCTCTTTGAGCGTTCATGGTTCTACATAGAACCTTTACCAAAGAACCCTTGAAGAACCATCTTTTTTAAGAGTGTAGCACTAAGTTAACGACAATTCACACAAACAATTTTTGGCCATTCTAGATTAAACACAGGCCTTTAAAGCTGCCCATGTTTTCCATTTCTAAAAACTGACTAAAACCTGGTTAGATTACAGCTCCTACTGGCAGTCAGTGATGTATTTAGGACTTCCAGAAGAACAATTTCTCACGAAGTTGGTAAATGTTTGAGTAGGTAAATCACTAAATTGTGCTGAACCCTCCAGGACTGGAGTTATCCTAAACTTAACAACAAAACAGTATTACCACAATACTTGCAGAGTTTAAACACAACAATAATAATAATCATTATATCAAATAAAAAATGACCTAAAAACTACAGACGTTTTTTGTCTGTCTCCGAAGGCCTACAAGGTCCTGAGGGTTCCCCACTGCTAAAATCACTGTAATGCACAGCCTCTTGTGGCTTACTGCTTTATTTTGAGCACCCTCATCTATGACAGTGTCGCCATGGATGGTTCTACATGGATGTGTTGTTCACTGTTGTTCACGCTGACTGTTCCATACTGTTTGTCATTCCAAATTCACAAACGTAAACAAAACCAATGTTCAGTCGAAAATCACAGAAGCCCAACGTTTCCTGACAGCCTTGTCAAAGCCTGTGGTTACCTTGGAATCACAACATGGTGATATCAGGGGTGTGCCTATCACTAGTTATTTTAAGGCAGCCTTGTTATGCAGTGCTGTCCACCTCTGATTATCCGCTCTACTTTGATGTCAGTGTTCAGCTCCATTATGGAAGCTTCCTGTTTGTTTTGTAATCAGGAACAAGAAATTTAACTCTTAGATGAAGATAATAGCAAAAGCTTTTCTTGTTTAGTGTATTTTTATCTTCTGGGCTCTGTGACTTGGCAGCAAGGAGAACCCCCCCACTCACACAAAGACACACGGTGCAATTAATAATCCCCATATCTATTAAGAACTCTAAAAATGGTTCTCAGGATGTAGGAAAATCCTTTAATTGGGATAGAACCTTTGTTATGTGGAGGTTTTTTAAACTTTGATGAGGTTCTTAACTCTCACACATCTCATTCACTAAAATAGTTCTAAACATCAGTTCAAAGCTCTTTATGGAAGTGTTTCTTCTGTGGCAGAGGTCATTATGTGTCAGTTAAATTAACAGTTCAATTAACTACAAGAGATTACAAAATACAGCGTCGGAAACTGGATTCAAGGTCCAGATTGGAAGACCTAGGTTTATGGCATCGCCTCAAAGAACGCTTTTTGGCAACCCTTTTTTTAAAAAGTGAAGATGCTCTAGTTAATTTGCACTTTGAATATTGCATGGACCTAAAATTGCTCTCTTCCTTTTCCCCCAAATTCCAATTTAACTACTGACTCTGGGTAATTACATTACAGCATATCCGATGACTCAAACTCATAAAGCCCAAGAGAGGCACCAATCATATAAGGCCATGTGGGAAATAGCTGGGAAAGTCTGAGCTATAGCAATATCCTGATACACTAACAAACCATCTTTCAAACATACAAACAAACAAAATAATCATATCAAATTTGGAATTTTTGGCTTTCATCAGTATTTAATGGCATTTAAATGAAGTTCAAAATAATTACTGTTGTTTTCAAAGGTTTGGGATCTCCTAGTCAAATTACAGTCTTTGTTTCTACGTGAAAATAAAGTGAACACATCCTCTACTGAGAACACACTTCTGCACATTTTACTACACAGTTTATTAGACTATATTATGATTTATTTGCTGGATTGCGCAGAAAAATGTCAAGTTTGTTATTTGTAGATGAATCTTTAAGGGTTAGCAAAGGAAGTGGTTCTATATCAGACCATGAACACTAAAAAAACTCTTGGCATGATTATTCTTACATGTTTTGTTAATACATGCTAAAACATGGTCTTCAAACTTGCATATGACAGTATATGGTGGGTCTTAAGGAAGTGGTCAGCCACAGTGGCCAAAAGACCACTTGAGACAAAATTTTCTGCTGGCTTTACTGGTTTCTCTCAATAATAAGAAATTTAAAGGTGAAACTTGTTAAAAGTAGGCTTGCAATATTATTATTATTAGTCCTGTCACAATCATGAAATATTGGCTGACAATTATCTGCCATATGAATAACTGTGATTTATAATTTGTCTTTTTTATTCACTGTATGCAAATATTAAAGTACAAACGTAAAGTACAAGATATTTAGTATCTCCTAACTGACGACAGACACAGCTCGGCTTGGAACTTATGTTGTTTTTGTCATGATTTTTCTAAATAAACACACTTTTTGTTTTTTGTTCTCTCTGACTTTTCTTTTTACAACGTAACTGATGAAAACGCATTTTCTGTTTGTCGAGATGTAAACATGCGATGGTGAAAGCTATCAGCCGTGGACAATAATTGCGGTCAGTCTGAATAATTGCAATCAGTTGATTATGTAATAATTGTGACAGCCCTAATTATAACGAGTAGACAGAATGAATAAAGCATTGTGTTGGTCACCATGGTTTAGTTTAGAAATCAGCAACTAAGCTTATCGATTTACATCCTGTGTTTATAAATACGCAGCCTCTAACATTTAATGCCCTTGCTGTAGGAGCTGAAGACGCTCGTACCTAAACCCTACTCACTGTGCAACAAATTGCTGCTTTCCTCAGCATGGTTTACAGATACAGTTGGCCCACGTTTGTGCACGGATGCCGTGTTTGAACAGGCGGAGAGGAACTGAAGTAGGTGGGTAGAGCTCTACAAGGCTTCAGCTACGCAGCCTGTCGCTTCCACTCCTTGGACTAACTGGGTGACCTATTTCCTCCCACATTCATGGAATTTAAAGGTGCAACAGAGAGGAAAGCTTCCTCAAAACCTACTCAGCCATTAATAGCACAAACAAAGGGTGACAACTATGCCTATGCAGGCATCACATCATTTGTGTGCATACCTGCAAGCTGAGGGAAACAAATACAGTCCCCCTTAAAAAAAAATGCAAAGTTCAAAGACAATGTTTCTTGGCAGCATTTGAATTTGACATATCAACCGCAAAGTAAGTTTAGTTTGAGAAGCGGCATTGGGTTTATATTAAGCTGGATTGGAGCTAGAGCAGAATACTCTAGCTACATAGGCTGACCTTCATTCCCATAATCTCACAAGCCTACTAAGACATTCACAGTTTCAGAGCTCATTCCACAGGTTTTCAGTGCTGTGTCTGTAATGGGACCACATATTACAGGCTCTATAGACAGGCAAAGCAGTACGCAGCTTCTATGCACTCACAAGAGCGGAATTCAACCTTAATCGAACTCGACAACCAATAATCAAATGCATTACTGCTGTAAGAGCAGGAATTAGGGCTGTTATCTAGCCTTCTAGACCTCCGTTCCACTGCATTCACTTCCACTCTCCAACCACTTTATGAGGTCCATTTAGCTTGTAGGCCCATTTACAGCTTAGCTTGGCTTATAGGTGTACAATTACACACTGTAGCCCATCTGTTGTCATACACCATCTACTCCCATTCATCACTGGTCAGTTTTTGGCCTGCTGTTGAACACTTATTAGTTGGGAGAAGGGCAACTCTCAGTACACCCAACTGGTCCATCTAAAAAACAACCAGCCAGACTCTGTGGTCAGAAATTGACCACTGATGTGGCTAATCAACTGTGCAGATGGTAACAGATAGTCTGTAACTGTATACCAACAAGGCGTTTCTGCTAATGTGTACTCAACGTGCTAAAGCATATTAAAACCACGGCTAAATAAGTTAATAGGGACCGTACCATGTCGTCTTTTGCAGGGGGGGGAGAGCGGGTTACTTCAATATTGGTTTAGGCTACAGGTGCTCAAACGTGACCTAAAAAGGGTTTAAAAAATTCTGCCAAGTTAGGATCTATCTGCTTTCTGTATATCTCTAAGAATAACCTGCTACTTAGACAGACAACCAGTTTTAAGCTAATTTACATCCATCCATACAATTAATTTATGTAAACTCAGGGTTGCCGCTGGTTACGCCATTGATTTCCTCTGGAGTGAAACTCCAGTCAGAGTCATTTTTACTACAAAAACTGTTCAAAGACGTTTTGCTCTTGTTTTAACGGTTCAATGAGCGGTAACAGCTCCTATATTGTATTCACAGTATCCATGTCATGTTTTAGGTCGGTCTTTCACACTCTCCAGCCTTATGTAGGCAAACCGTGTTGTTTCGTTTCCCACCTGTTTTCCGACAAGCCCGCCCCCTGCGCTAGGATTGGCTAGTAGTTCCCACTATTGGCGGACTGTGTGTGATTGTGAACTACTGGCCAATCCGAGCGCAGGGGCGGGTCTTGTCGTGCCTGCTCGTGAATATGATCTACAAGCCAATCCTAGCGTAGGGGGCGGCGTTTGACGGAATACGGGCGGGAAGAAAAAAAACGCAGGCAAAACGGTTTAACGAGGCATATTAGAAGAAGAAAACGTGTCGTCGGGCGAAACATGCTCCGTCCTCGTGTCCTCACTTAACGGCGGAGGTGTAGCAAACCGTCTTTAGTGCGTCCCCGTTTGTTCTGGGTTTATTCTGTGTCGCCTTGACTGAACGCGAAGCGATGCTGTGTCTGCGGCTCCTCACATTTGTGCTGAAACGCTCTCTCCAGCCTCAGATCATCACTTCGCCGCCACCAACATCTCTACTGATGTGACCTCTGTGGCTCTCTCCTCCGCAGGCTTCGAGATACGCTTTATTTTTCGCTAACATGTGAAGAAGTGTCTCCACACGAGGGAACAGCTCATGGAGAGGCTCGTCAGATTCTAGCAGCAGAAATGCGTCTGAGCAGGACGAAATGGTAAGAATCGACTGTGGATTCATAAACTGTGTTGAATGGATTAAGTAGCCTAAAGTCAGTCCAGGTGGGTCCAGTTAACGCTCTTCTTTCAATAACTGATAGGATTGTAATATCTGTACTGTAAGTGACCGATAGAGCTGCTTGTAGGTGACAGAAGGTAGAGCTCTTGAAGGCATCTTCAACACGGGCTTTGTTTTTTGTGCCGCTTCTCTTGAAGATACGACTCATAGGGTTCCGAACGCCAACGTCTTTGATGGCTTTTGTGATGAGGAGATGGAAGATCTTGCTGGTGCTGAACGCGTTCGCCGTGGCGGGTTTCCTCACTTTTTGGGGCAAGTGCACTGTGCGGGCGGGCAGAGGCAGCGGTCAGCAGGCGCCCACTGATGCGAGAGGACAAACGCGTCTGAACGGCTCTGCTGTGGACACAGGCATCACTCACGAGGTCCTGCTGAAGAGACTCGGCTCTCTGGAAGATGTTGTCTACAGACAGCTTAATGGTAACCCCCTCTTTCCCCCCCCTCTGTGACTGTAATTACGGACATCACCAGCATGGTTGAGGCAGTCATGCTTGAAGGGAGTAGTTGCAGGGTCTCATCTGTCAGCTCTCGCTGCCCATCATGTATCCCCTTGTGTGTCTCTATTTAAGGAGTGTCCAGCACACTTTGAGGATTCCCTTGCTCAAACACACCTACTGCACCTGGAACATAAACAGTGAAATGGAATCAGGTGTTCCTGAGCAGGGAAATTTTCAAACTGTGGGACAAAAAAGGCTATAGACCTTCTGGACCACAGCCGGACCCCCTGCAGTGTGTTCATGGTTAGAGCATTGTGAATATTGAGAGATTTAGAGCAGGACAATGAATTCCCTCTGTGGCCTGTGTTCAACAGGTTTGTCCAAATCTCTTGGACTCATCGAGGGCTTTGGAGGCAGGGGCAAAGGGGGCTTGCCCGCCACCCTGACTCCTGCGGAGCAGAAGGAAGCCAAATACCTTCGGGAGAAATATGGCTACAATGCCTTCCTGAGCGACAGGATCTCTCTGGATAGGTCCATCCCGGACTATCGGCCCAGCAAGTGAGTGGGACTCTTTACTGGACATAAACGATCAAAGCTTCGATTGCTGACCTGTCAGCCGCTGCTAATGTTTTATTCTGATGATGTCAGTGCCACATCAGTATAGGCTCAAAGAAGGAAAATTGGCAGTGGGCAGATGTTTCGATGTATTTGTTGTACTCCAGAAGAGCAGAATGTTTAGGTGATGCTGGATGTCTGCATCTTATTCATTTTACTGCATTTTTAACTCTATACAACAACTTTATACTCTGTGATTTTCTTTGTAAGGCTGATTAGCATGGATCTAGTCCTAGTTTCGACATACTAGATTCATTATTATATATCAGCGTTGGTGTTGGCATCGGCAGATATGTACATGAAAAATATCAGATTCTGGTATTGGCCCAGAATTCCATATCATTGCATCCCACCATTTCACTGATGGCTTCTGCCATTACCCTAAACCAAAATTGACCAGTTTTAGTTTACATTAAAGCAAGAATAGTGTTTCAAAAGGCCATATTGTCTTCACAGTCACTGCTAAATTACACCACAACCTAAATATCCAAAACTGGCCAAAATGTATTTTGAGCTATTGCTCTCCTAATTTGTTATTCCTTCAATAAAGGTAGAGGGGTAAAGAGCAGAGATACATTTCTGCACATTTCCAGTTCTGAAAGGCTGTACTGGCTTCTCATGCTGCAAATGCCCCAGATAGTTTTCTGCTTTTCCTGATATATAAGGCAGACATCTCCTGCGGCGTCTTTGGCATGTCTGAGCCTCGTAGCTAGGCTGAGAGGGCTAATGCAAATCCCAGCACAGGGGTGGCCACTGACACCACAGTCCAAAACAAGCGGTTTTCAAGCAGGCTCTATAAATAGACTTCACAACACTCCCACTATAAGTTCTGCGATTGTTAGCGCAAAAGTGTGTGATCCAACAGAGCAGTAGAGGGCCTCTTTTTCCCTTTGTTACCAAATGAAAGACTCTCTGATGCTTTCCAGCACTGCCTCTTGAGATTGCAATGATATTTTATGTCAGTGATAATGAAGCAGGCTGTTTTTTTGTGGGGGGGTGGGGCTTGTTCCTCTAGGTGCAAAAGGGTGTTTTATCCCAGAGACCTGCCGCAGATCTCCCTCATCTTCATCTTTGTGAACGAGGCACTGTCGGTCATCTTGCGTTCTGTCCACTCAGCTGTCAATCATACGCCGGCCCACCTCCTGAAGGAGATCATACTGGTGGACGACAACAGTGATGACGGTGAGGAACGCAGAGATGGATTGTAATAGACCTTCATGGTCATGTTAAGCAGTTAGCTGTGGACCAATTATCTCCTACCTTGTTCCTTAACACCCACCAACCAGCAGAGTTGCAAACTTAAGTTTTAGAAGAGATACTCATTATGAAATTAATAGGAAGAAAAATTTGTGTCTGCAGTGTTGTTTTGCTGAAAGAAAATCATTGTGTACTGTTTGGAAACGTTACGTTTCTCATTGTTTAACATCAAAACAATGTCAGAAATGCCGTTTGTGCCACCTGGGAATATAAGACACTCCCTGTTTAAATATATGACAGCAATCCAGGCTGAATGGCTAAATTTAAATAAGCTAATAGAAAAGAACTTGTATAAAATTTGAAAATAATAGATAATAAGCAACACAAGCCAAAACAGGGGTAGCTCCACCCCTAGTGCTGAAATATTTATAATATTTGAGATACAACTAAGTGTCTCGACACCATTCTGAGAATTTGCATATTATCCCTTAAACTTGTTTAAATCTGCTGACAGAGAAGTCGTGGTTTGTTCTTGTCCACACCGGCCACAGTGAAACGTATCAGCCTGTAGAATTGGATCTTTCTCTGTGCTGCTGTGTTTCTATCAGTGTATAAAAGACTTCATTTTGTTGTTGGATGCTCTGTTTTTTTCTGAGCGAGCACACTCATTCAGACCACACTTCTGAGCCATAAGAGCTTATTATTGATTTGTGTAATTAGAGTAATGATTAAACACAACTGATGTGTGATCTATGTTCCTATTCATGTGTTTGCTTATTCGAAAAGGAACTAAAAACGAAATATAAACCTACAAATTTTTGTTAGGTCGTGTTCTTTACATATCATAAAATTGCAACAATAGTGCTGAGAAATCATATAATTAACGGAGAATAGCAGATTAAATGGCAGAAATATCCATAGCTAACTATGTAATTAATTATGTAGTTATGTAATTACATTTAAAGCAGCACTGTTTAAGATAAAAAAAAAAATGAAATACAGTAATAATGAAATAACGATTTAAACATCAGAGTCATTTTCGCAGTTTTTCATACCATGTCACATCTTTACATATTACATATCTCACATGCATAGGCTCAAAAAGAAGATCCAGCTTGAATGCAAAATCAACATTATAATGATGAAGATATGATGACAATAGTAGATCATTCACTTACATCCTTGGAAGACACATCCTTCACCAAGTTCTCTTTGAATCCTTTTTCAACCAGCTCACAATCATCAGATTCATCCGCTCAGGGAAGGGGTTCGAAGAACAACCAACTTTACAAAATGTTCTTTCCCAAAGTTGCATACAAATGCACATTTCCACCAGAGAGGTCTCCAAATCTTACAGAATAAAAATCCCACCATGTGTATCGTGTATTGTAGTTTAAATAGTGTAGCTTTAAGCAGTACTAAAAAAGTCTATATTAACTCTAGACTTTGAATCACGAAACACTCCTAATCAAAGACTTCAGAAGCTTCATGAGAAGAAAACCTGTGTTGGAATTAAGCTCTGCAGTTGGCTCTCCAGGACCTGGATGTAGATGCCTAGTGCTGTGCTGTGTCTCCATCCACTAGAAAGGAGAATGAGGACATGGGATTTGCCTTTCATATCAGTCTCTGTGATACACAATCCACCACCCTGATTCTGACTTTGAATGTCATCCCTGATAACTGGGAGAGGTATTTGTGTTGTTCCATGCTCTTGTTGTGAATAGTGGTGTCCATGTCTAATCCATCACACTGCGAGCGCTAGTCTTCCTTCGAGAGACAGTTCCATTTCCAGAACACTCTAGGCATGAGCCGGTGGCAGAGGGCCAACAATCCATCAAAGTGAGGAGAAGCGATTGCTTTTGTTGAGATGAGCAGACCAACAAACAAGCAACACAGGCCTCTCTGCTCTCCTAATGCCAGTGGTGCATGGAGAGTGGGTCTAGCGCTCGGTGTGTAGACGGCAGCTTGATGCAAAAGAAACAAACCTTTTCTGAAGAAAGTGTTTTTCAGGGGGTGGTGGGGGATGCATATCCCTTCAGCACAAGATCAAAGGGATGGAAAAACAGCAGCACAAGAAACCTGTTCCCTCTGGTGTGGCTTAAGCACAGGCAGAGAGCTCTCATGGTGTAAATAGGAATTCACCTTCTGTTTTCCCTCTGATTGTGTTTATGTGTGTGTGTGACAGAACAACTGAAGGCTCCGCTGGAGGAGTACGTCAACAAACGCTACCCGGGCCTCGTCAAGATCGTGCGCAATCAGAAGAGAGAGGGCCTGATCCGCGCTCGTATCGAGGGCTGGAAGGTGGCTACAGGAGAGGTGACGGGCTTTTTCGACGCCCACGTGGAGTTCACCCCTGCATGGTAAGAAGCTTTTGTAGCAGAAGCTCTCTGAACTTTCCACACTAGTTCTGAAGACCTGGAGTCTTCATATACAGTACAGCGCAAATATCTTAGGCCAGCCAACAAAACTGTTGGTGCCATAGCATTCAAAATTGAAATAAGTGCTAGAAATGTTTCGAAATGTACTCTAGTCCATTTGTGGAAAATAAACCGCAAAAATGGACAGTCTTAAATTCACTGTAATGTCAAATCCATAATAACACTTACATATACTTTCTGTCCAAAAAATGTATCTCAAAAATACCAATTTTACAGGAGAAGGCAAAAATGTTCTTAACTTTGAATGTACATTAATACAAAAAAGTGATTCTGGAGCATTTCTGTTGGTCCATTCCTTATGAAATGTTCACTCAATGTAAAAGACAACTGCTGTGTCCAAATGAAGTGGAAAAATAAAAACTGACAAACATGGAAATATGTGTTTTTTGCACAGCAACAATATGAGCGCCCATTCGTCTTAAAACGATAAGGAAGTCCAGACTGCTTTTTGAATGATACAAGGCAGCCAGTCAGAAGATCAGTGTTAAAGGCCTCACATCCAGTATAGTCCACTTATAATGCTTGTGATGGTTTATGTACCTATAATTCATTCTTACATGACTGTTTTTCAACCTCTCTTTAGCCCTTAAAATTAAGCAGGCTGTTTTTGTTACTTTGCCTTTCAGACTTGATTTATGTAAATGACCTCTGTTCTGATTGGCTACTTTGTATTGTACATCATTCAAAAAGCAGTCTGAGCTGAAACACTCCTTATAACTTCATCATGAATGGACCGAGCCAAACTGCTGCAGGCTGAATAGTTGGATATATGTGAATGTTATTAGATTAACTTTCCTTACTTAAAGTAGTCAAGAAAATGTTGAATAATGTAGGATATATTTAAGTTTGCAGCTTTTGCGATTTGAAAATTGTATGAAATGTGATTTTGATATAAAACAGTATGAAAACGATTAGCCCTAGTGTTAATATCAAACTAACAAAAGTGTATAATATGGACCTTGTACTGTTTATCAGGGCAGTAGGTGTGTTTTGTTGCTTTTAAAAACACTAACATTGGAATACACATTAATAGTGACGAGAATTTCTTACTTTTAAGTCAACTTATTGGTTCTGAGCTGGTTAGAAGAACAGATTTGGTTCCTCTAGTCCTCGGTGCTGTTTAGCTATTGCATGTATTTGGTATGGAAATTCACCAACAGCACCTGATTTTACTCAATGAAGGTTTGGTTAGCCAAATCATGGAATTGGATGTCACCTAGAAATTCTGAGCTGCCTTGAGGAGGGGTTTGGAAATAGTGACACTAACACACTGATGGTTGTAAAATCATAATTTATTGTATTAATGTTTATTTGTATTTATTCTAATGCTATTATGTTTGAGCAAAGAAATTCCTACCAGCTTCAGATTTTTTCAGGAGGCCTCTACTTTGAACAGTACTGTAGACGAAGCAGCCCTCATATCTTACTGTCTGTGAAGAGAAAAACCAGGTGACACTGTCTGACTGCAGCTCAGATGCAGCAGAGGTGTTGAGAGCAGTGTTATAATTCTAGCAAGAAAAGCTAATACTCTCTCCTGTTTCTCTCTCTTGCTAGGGCTGAACCAGTTCTGTCCAGGATCAAGGAGAACCCCAAGAGGATCGTCCTGCCCTCAATAGACAACATTAAAGATGACACCTTCGAGCTGGAGCGCTATGAGAACTCTGGCCATGGTTTCAACTGGGAGCTGTGGTGCATGTACATCAGTCCCCCTAAACAGTGGTGGGATGAAGGAGACACTTCTGCACCCATCAGGTACACTTCCAGAACATGCTCTCAAAGACCACACTGGCAAAAATTAAGATAACAGGGCGTGGAATCAGGTTTCAAAAAGTGTTCCAGCTTATCAGCTCAGTCAGTGGTTTGAAAATGGGTTTCCTAAACTTTTTCATGCCAGGAGTCACATGTGGAGGTAGTGTTTGTCAAAAAAATTAAGTAGACTAGATGGTTCTGTATGCTGATCGCTGCTGATTAATTAGGCTAGAGTAAGTTTGTTTTCTGTCAGAGCTGATGTGGCACAGTTGCAAAGCGGAGTGTATTTCAGGTATTTTGTACATGCTTCTAGTGGCAGGAAGCTCAAAATATAAAAAATGTACTCAAAGCTTTGAGTGAAGTGAATGCTCCCCTACTGTCACTGTTTATGTGACACTCGATAACTGCACCTCAAAAGCACATGACCATTCTTGCTGAGCATGGCTGGTATAAAAGATGTTAAAGCGATTTGTGAGCATCAGAAGTGCTTTTAGCTCTGTTCTCTTAGGGAGAAAAAATGCATCGTCGCAGCTTCCTCACAACCTACTCAACCCTGCACTGCAATCCACAGTTTAAAAACCACTGACTTAAAACACACTACAGGTCAAAAGTTTGGAACACAAACTTTGTAAAAATAAATATGATATTTTTTAGATGTCAGATAGCAGCCAGTAATGTCTGGTTTGACTAAATGTCAACAGTGTACAACTAGCTGATTCTTTGTTTTGCTCAGCTCCTGAAGCCTTGATTAGCTGAATGAGGAGTAGTAAGTCATTTGTAGGTATAAGACTGTGAAGGCGGTTGAACCAGGGGTCGCAATGTCTACAACTTACAACAATGTTTTCTTCTGTTTTACATCCTGCATATACCTCTCTGCCATGAATTTTTAAAACATATTAGCTCTCAAAACTACCGCAAAGCAATGTCAGGGAAAAGCATCTGTGATACTTTTGTGTAATATCTTTCTCCGAGGTAGCTTTTAGAGGCATTAAATGCTTCGGTCATCATGTTCCTATCAACTCCACTGTGAATCATTCTGACTCAGTAAATTTCTCTGAAATGGTGCATTTCACATCCAATCACTCTGAATCACTTTACATTTTAATGATTTAAATATATATATATATATATATAAAAAAAAAATTAAATGTTGTTCATTGTAAATAGTTTTGAATCACTAATTTCATCTCAACTCTTGGCCTGTAGTGTAAATTATTTACAGAAAATATATCAGAGCATATATGGAAATTGTAAAACCTGTGCATTTCAGGACGCCTGCAATGATAGGCTGTTCCTTTGTGGCCAACCGGGACTACTTTGGAGAGTTGGGCCTGCTGGACTCAGGGATGGACGTGTATGGTGGAGAGAATATAGAGCTTGGAATCAGGGTTAGTGTGCTGACCACATCTCTCTGTTTTATGTAGAGCACTGACTACTGCTGCCAAGCACTTAAACCCAAGTTGCATCAGTTTGGCAAAGCACAAAGGATGGAACAGCATGGGTCATGACTAATACTGTGTGTGTGTATGTGTTTGCATATGAATGCAAGGTTTGGCTGTGTGGAGGCAGTATGGAGGTCCTGCCTTGCTCCAGGGTGGCCCACATTGCCAGGACGAAAAAGCCCTATCACAGCAACATCGCCTTCCACACCAGACGCAATGCACTGCGTGTGGCGGAGGTGTGGATGGATGAATACAAGTCAAACGTCTACCTGGCCTGGAACATTCCAATGGAGGTGAGGAAAAAAGAAGCTAACATTGAAATATGCTGCAGCGTTCCTCTGAATATTTATAGTACACATTCCTGTCTGCCTCTTCTGTGTGTAGAACCATGGCATCGATTATGGTGACATATCAGAGCGTGTGGCACTAAGGAAAAGCCTCCAGTGCAAGAACTTCGAGTGGTACCTTGACAACATCTACCCTGAGATGAGGAGATACAATAGCACTCTATTTTACGGAGAAGTGAGTATGACATAAAACAATTCGGCATGTGGTTTTAATTATTAAGCTGTCACTTCAGGATAGAGATCTTGAAGAAACAACAATAATTAAATGGGCATATGGCTTTGCACAAGCTCTTTTTTTGGCTGTACCAGCCTGCCAGTTGAAGAGTGAAAAAGGAACAACTGTCAATTGATGTTAAAAGAGTCCCGAGGGAACGATACGCTTCCTAGCGGAAAACAGGCCAAAGCCGTCTGCTCACCTACTCATGTGTGTCTCTATCTGGGTGGCAGATTCGCAACATCAATGTGACCCATCTGTGTGTGGACCAGGGCGTGAAGGAGAACCACACGGCGACCCTCCACCCCTGCCACGGCTGGGGCCCTCAGGTACACTCACACTCCGGTGCTCCAAAGACCCGACCTCAAACAAACCCTCTCCCTCCCTCTCGCTGCAGTTGGAAAAATAGGTTATGCCTGTGGGGAGTTTCCTTCATGACACAATTTTTGCGCATTCTTTTTTATCAGCCGTAGCTAAGCAACAAAATATCAAAATGGTTGAGAGAGGAAGAAAAGATCTGCATTCCCCCGTTTGGAATTTTAATATTTAACTGAGAGTGTATTGTAATACTGCATCATTCCACACGGATGTGGTCGTGTGAGAGACTTTTCTGTGAATTAGTAGCCTAATCCAGAGGGTCTCAGTCTCAGACCTCTGTGCTACACAGTTTTGTGTTTCCCCTTTTCACACATCTCCTGCACATGAGCGAAAATAGACACACCCTTTGAGTTACTACACTACTAGAGTTAAAGAACAAAACTGTTAACTTTTGAATATACAGTGGGGTCTAAAGGTCTGAGACCACAATGAAAATCTGGGATTTTTTTTCATTTTAACTTGGAAATAAACAACAGAATATTTTAGAATTTCTAAAGATTTAAAACAAAGGTATGACAAACTAAATGAAGAAGTATTCAAGATTCTGCATTATTTCTAGGTCACTACTCATCAGAGACTTTTGCACAAACTTATGGAGTCCATGCCAGCTCGTGTGCATGCTGTCATTGAAGCAAAAGAAGGACATGTTAAATATTGAGAAATTCTGATATTCATGTTCAAAATTCAAAGTTTCTGCTTTTCATTCAAATTATGTTATGTTGATAATATCATTTGTAGTGACAATCTTTCTATTAAATTAGAATGGAATGCAACATAGAAGCATTTTTACTAGTGGTCTCTGACTTTTGGACTGTATCAAAAGTAAAAAATACTGTGAGACATTTAAGCTGTTATAATCATTGTATTATTTTGATGAATAATTTCTATTGAACCCTGTAAGTCTGTAGATGAGAAAGACAGTTTAAGAAACCAAGCTACATTTGCATATCTCAGAATAACTAAAAGTATTGCTTCTGTTACTCGTACATTCTGGTGAAGACCAACACATTGCTTTCCCTGCAACACAACCCAGACTCAACACAGTGGGGGAAAAAAACATCAAAACATCAAAACTACTGTGATCTCTCATCAGTCTCAAAGCGTTGAAAGGTTAAAGATAGAAGCTAAGCATGCAGATAATAATCAAAAAGGGAGAAACCTCGTCATACAGCAGTTAGCTGACATACCTTAAAGCAAATGTGTCTGTTCCATGTGATTTTTGGGCAGTGTCTTCAGCACTGTTTAATCCACACCCCTCCTCTTATATCTTTGGATAGAAAATGTGTCAAATTTCACTGTCTGCTCCAGACTCTTATCACCAAGTAAATTAAGTGATTAAGTTACAAGGAACTTACTTTTAGTCAGTGCCAATATATCAAACCACACACACAACAGCATATCACTGAATTCTGAAAACTTCTCAGAGGTGCACAGACGGAACTACAGTCACTAAGCTACAACTGGACAGTTGGTATCTAGTGGAGAGGGTTTAGGGAAAGGTGCGCTTTAATTGGTTTGCTTTAAACGTTAAGCTGTATTTGAAAAAATCCAGTTTTCTCTTGCTTAAGAGTAATGAGGAGCAACACACTCATGCAGAAAGAAGCAGAGTCAAAGGTAGGATATTTTGAAATGCAGTGGAGTATAAGAAAAAACTCCTTAAAATACAGGAGAAGTACTTTGTTAGTGTCCAACACTGAACACACTTAAGTTTAATTTAGTTTCAGGATAATTAAGCTAATTTTAGTTTATTCAAATTTAAGATTATTCAAAGTAACTGGTATCAAAATAGAAGCAAAAAATTTTGTTTTACAATTACCAATGATATGTGATCAGTGGGCATAAGAGAATATGTGCCATATAAGGATTATTCATATATTTTCTAAAAAAAAAAAGGAAACAAAGTGTTGCATGTTAGAGGTGAACTTTGCATCAACAATGCTTTGTTATCTTGCACAATCCAACGCCCCATCACAATCATGATGGGCTTAATTACTTGTTATTAGAGCATGGAAAGTTCTAAAATCAGGCCAGGGACTGAGAACCACTTCCTTAACGTTGGAACTGAGTAAGTTCTCTTACTAGTAGACTAGGGGTCACCAACTCTGGACCTGGAGATCAACCTTCCTGCAGAGTCTAGTTCCAACCACACCTGTTCCAGCTTATTAACATCTTCAGAAGTTATTGATTTACTGGATCTGATGCAGTAGTGTTAGGTTAGTGGGTGGTTGTGTTAGATGCAGGTTGGAACAAAATTCTTCAGGAAAGTAGATCTCCAAAGGAGGGCTCGTGATCACTGGGCTGTCCTGTGTGTGTTGTAGCTGGGCCGCTACACTAAGGAGGGCTACCTATTCCTGGGGCCACTGGGCAGCACTGGGGAGGACACGCGCTGTGTGGTCGACGACAGAGTCAGCAACTTCCCTCAGCTCATGAACTGCGAGAAAGTCTCCAACATGCGTCAGAAAACATGGAACTTTGCACAGGTAAAAGGATGAACCTTACAAGACAACAAAAAGCACAAAATTGTTTAAGCCTCTCATTGTAGAGACCTGCCTTCCTGTAGAGTAATCAGTGTCTTCAGAGGATGGTGATTAAGTGGACCAGCTGTGTTAGATGTGGACTGGGAGCTAGATCTAAAGGAGGAGGATTGCTGATTGTTGGATATACAAGTCTAGTATCACTTGCTACATTAATATTGTTATTTTATTCAGTATTTAAAGTTTTTTTTGGAACAATAAGAAGTTATAAAATGATAAACTGTATGCTATGATTATTTATTGCGATTTCTCACCAGGTTTGCTTCATCAAGATTTAATCTTACTCTTAAGTATAGGCATTCTGGATATAGAAGTCAGAACTTGTAAAACATTTTCCTTCTGTACGATGGCATAGTTATGAATGAAACAGTATTATGAAGGGTCTCAGAGCTTGTTAAGCATTTTTGCTTAATGATAGATTAGGGTGGTTGGAGGGGGAGGTGGATCATAATATTATCGGTTAATATTTTTTCCTCCTGTTGCTGCACGGTGGTGGAATCAAAAATCGAAAGTCGTTTTGTAGGCGAGGCAAAAGTCTCTACACTTTAATTACATGCTACAAAAAAACTGTCTTTTAAATGTTATGATGAATTGTGATATTAATGTCTGTTCATCATTGTGGGAACTTCTAAAATTGTGCGATTTTTTTCTACAATTTTTTGGAAACCTGTGAAGTTACAGAGCACTAGTGTCATATTAGAATCGCTTTGGAGAAGGCATTTACAACAAAATCAGCTGTAAATGACTGATATCAGTGATTCTAAAGGTTTAAGCATAAGCCTTTTCTTATTCTTACTTGTAGAATCAACCCATCGTCAACCGAGCCACAGGACGCTGTCTAGAGGTGGTGCAGGCGAACGTCTACTTTGGCTACGCACTGGTTCTGCGGCCATGCACGGGTCAGAGGTGGAACATCAGGAACACGATGAGGCAGCAGCGGGGACAGTGAGTCATCCCCCCTCAGATAAGGCCGACGCATACGGGAAGACGGGAGTCCTGCCGGGAACTGTCCAGGTTACTTGAAAATGAGTCCAGTTTGTGGATTAGCTCGCTGCTTTGTGTTCTGGACTCCAGTGGAGCAGAACTGATTCAGCATGAGTTGGTCTCAGCAGTGGAGTGCATGAAACATTGCTCTGGAGCATGTGAGGAGCGCTCCATGCTCTGCCAAACAAGTTATGACTGCCTGAAACCAAAACAAGACAGTTTTGTGTTCTTCAAAGGAGTGGTCAACTACTTCTGTACTGCAGACTTCAGTCATATACAGGGCAGATCCACCATGAAAGATGAGGGAAGCCACATGCAATGCAAAACAGTTATCTCACAATCAGTACAGTGGTGCTATGAGATTATACAACACAACTGACATTTATTGATTCATGATACAGTGATTAAATAGAAATGCTTGCTGTGTGCTGATTAAGTGTGAATCATTTTTTGTTGTTTTTTTTTCTTTTGCATTGTAAGTGGCTTCCCTTTTCTACTAAAATTTAAATATTGTGACAAGTTTGGAAGCCAGTGGCTTGTTGGATCTTTCCTGTAATTTCTATGTTGAAAACAGTTCATCATCCCAGGAGAAGAAACTCATTCATAGGGATTCATAACAGTGAATGTGTAGGTTATTTTTCAAATCCTAATGTAAATGGATCCTGGTTTTTCCCCCCTTTTTAACCAAGTCAGACATCATGGATGTTTCCTTATGTCACTCCCAAAGGGAACCATGTAATTATTGTTTTTTTTTTGTTCTACATATAAGGTAGCACTCAGTAGCATGACCTGTTGATATGCACATGGGAAATAACTGTACAGTATAGACCTATGTCATGAGTTAGGTCTTCCATTGAACTGTTTGTGTAATGGTCATACTCTTTCTCTGGGCCACTCTGAAAGAATATAAAGTAAAGGCAGGCCACAAAACTGGTTTTAAGATATATCCTAAAAGATATTTTTGAATTTTAGAGTGAGTGTCATAAGGTGTGTGTAAATGAATCATGTACTGTAAACATTACTACAGACTTTTACCGCTGTTGCTCATGTTGAAAAGATTTGGTGATGGAAATTCCTCATACCGTCTTCCATTTTAAGATTCTCTGGTTTGAATAAAACTATGAACTACGCTGCTGTTGTAGGCTGTATGATATTACTGATATTATGGCTCTGCTGTTTTTCCACAGGTAAGTAATACACAGTATACATGCATTAGGATACACAGATTATATATTATGTAAAGCATAAATAATCACATCATTTGTAACCGGTTATTTTAATGAAAGTATGTAGAATAAAAAGATGTGCTGTCTGTACTGTTTATAAAGAAATCAGATATTAAAAACTGCTTTATATACAATTATACAACTTTACCAATCCCAGATTTTACATTAGATCTTTTAAAATATGTTTACTCCATTACCAGCACACCTGATTTAATGTAATACAGATTAGCCAGGTATTTAATGATAACTATAATTAATACTGGGCTGCCAAAAGGGGAGTTTTGATCAAATGATCTTAAAACCATTTCTGCTCTCCACAAGCCACTTTACAAATGAATTTTAATATGTCTCTGCTTGTATTAGGCTGCTTTGACTTTGACAATCAAGTGTGCGCAATGCGAGTTTGGTCACTGATGATTAAGAGTGTGAAGGCAGCGCAGTGTTCCTGTGATCCTGAGAGTTACGAGGAGGAGGAGGTTCACCCCAAGTGTCAGGCAGGAGCAGCTGAGCTTCCCCCTCACCACAAGCCTTCCTTCAGTCATGCTAAGGATGAGCTAACGTACAAGGCCATGGACTGTGCATGCTAATGATGCTGCTCACAAGTCTACAGTGCAGCAGGGTCAGAATGAGCTTCAGCCGCCTGCAAGGGTCGCCAGTCCTTTAATAATCGACCAATATTGTATAATCCCAGGTGCACAAATTATTAAAGGAATTTTTATGAGCCAGTATCACTGTCTTAGCTCCTAACTGTAATGTTTAGTAGTGTTCAGATTCTGGGCTTGAATGTTTTATGAACGCAAGCTTGGTAAACAGAATGATGTAGCATTTAGGGCTCTGAAAGATAAACACATTACAGTGTGCTGTATTTGAATATGCAGCATAAGACAAATGAAGAATCATTTTAACACCTCACAATGCCACAACTTCACTGATGCATTTGTGACACAGCTTCCGTAAGTGAACTTTTTTTTTGGGAATTGGAATTGATGGATATTTGCAAAATTGTATTTTATGTCCACAGCCCGGCCTTGGGTTGATAACTGATATTACTGAATTTTGCACTCATTTAAATAGGTGATAATATTATGCAAATAATCTTTTTTGTTCTCTTTCATGTGCCAAATGAGTAATTTTTTCTATATTTAGCCTTTATTTAACCATTTCCATTGTACAATCATTATAATCTATGGTTAGCTCCAAAATGTATACATTATAAAAACCTGCACCTAATTAGAGAACATCACAACATCAACTAATTAACTAGACATATACACACTTTGAACACCACTTGTAATGATAATAACGCACATTTTCAGTCTGGCAATGAATGCTGGGACACACGCAATAAAAAACCTCCGATACATGAGATCCACTCTTTTGTAGAGAGTAAAATTATTAATCTTAGACGCAAAAATTCAGAATATAGAAGGTAAAGCACTGTAATGGTACTTTATAAGTGAATTTCCAAAATATCGTGATATTTCTGCAGACAATATTTGTTTGTCTAAATTGACAATAGTGCCCAACCTTAGCCATAGCATGATTTTGTGTGTGTATATATATATATATATATATATATATATATATATATACACACACCGATCAGGCATAACATTATGACCACTTCCTTGTTTCTATGCTCCTTGTCCATTTTATCAGCTCCACTTACTATATAGGTGCACTTTGTAGTTCTACAATTACAGACTGTAGTCCATCTGTTACTCTGCATACTTTGCCCCCTTTTTGCCCTGTTCTTCAGTGGTCAGGACCCCCATGGACCCTCACAGAGCAGGTACTATTTGGGTGGTGGATCATTCTCAGCACTGCAGTAACACTGACGTGGTGGTGGTGTGTTAGTGTGTGTTGTGCTGGTACGAGTGGATCAGACACAGCAGTGCTGCTGGAGTTTTTAAACATTGTGTCCACTCACCGTCCACTCTATTAGACACTCCTACCTTTTTTTCCACCTTGTAGATCATCTGCTGCTGCACAGTTTGTGTTGGTCATCCTCTGGTTCTTCATCAGTGGTCACGGGACGCCGCCCACAGGACGCTGTCGGCTGGATATTTTTGGTGGACTATTCTCAGTCCAGCAGTGACACTGAGGTGTTTAAAATCTCCAGCAGCACTGCTGTCTGATCCACTCAGACCAGCACAACACACACTAACACACCACTACCACATCAGTTTTACTGCAGTGCTGAGAATGATCCACCACCCAAATAGTACCTGGATTACAGTCTGTAATTGTAGAACTACAAAGTGCACCTATATAGTAAGTGCTGATAAAATGGACAATGAGCGTAGAAACACAATGATGTTAGGCCTGATTGATATATATATATATATATATATATATATATATATGCAGTTTATTATGGTCAAACCCTGAATGAAAAGATCAACAGTCTACGCTCACCAAAAACTTTTCAGAAGATAAACCAACACTGGCTTTTTTGGTTTACAGAGACTGCATATGCTATTAAAATCAAATTCCAGATGGTGAACAAAGAGTGCCAACATTTAAATAGTTACTATAAAAAACTTTTATTGCATAAATGCATTATTCTATACAGGTTTTAATATTTACAGTATTATTTAGGGCATCTTATAAGAATTTCTGTCCTCTATATATTCTATGTGCCTAGATACTCTGCATGCAAAGTTTTGTTGGTCTGTGTGTACATGTGATTATTTTTGTAAATATAGCAATTCTATACATTTCCTTATACAGAACACAAGTCATTGAACCACCATGCTAATCCACAAACATATTCCCATAGGACCACAATCTCTTTTTAGTATTATTATTATTATTATTACTATAAATATGGTTATTATAATTATTATTTTCAGAATCATTGGCTCAGTTTTCCATCTTTTTTCAATAATTAAACAATGTCACTTATAGACATTCACAAAAACAGAAATGAATGTCGGCAAAATGTTGAAATGTAAAGATAAACCAAGCAATTCTCATTCATCAGCTAATGAAAACATTCTATATCCAGACTATCATGTATCTACATTTATCCCACACTCGTGGTAATCAAATAATATATGCAAACACATATGGTACAGTGTCTCAACTCCCCCCTGGCCTTCATGTACTCAAATGCTACAAAACTAATGTTATAATCTGGTTCAGACTAAGACAGCATGAGGACAAACACCGTGTTAATTATTAACAATCAATTCATACACAGACCACCAGGTGGAGCCATTGTATTGGTGTGGATCCTCCCTCTTTCTCTCTTGCTCTTCTAATACGCAAGCATTTCAGTGCAAAAGGGGTAAACTGTGTCTCTTCACAAACATAACAGTAGTTCTCACTGTTAAAGGAGTAGAAAATGCACGGGTGCGTTCTTCGGTACATCTGTGCAGACTAATATGGCTTTAGTCAGAGGCTGCTGGAGGAGCTGAGAGCTGGCACACTGGTATTGGGTTCAGCCGCCTCCTCTGAGCCCGCCGACACTGTCTGTGCAGAGTGTACCGACCTATAGACCGTCATGCATATACATAAATTGCCTAACACAGACGTCTATTTACACACTTCTACAAGATCACATGCATTCTGGAATCAGTCTTTACGAAAACATGAAGGTGGAGAACATGGGTTTCTTATACAAGAGACGAAAGGAGACGGACATTCTTGTGAAATAACAGACGTACTGAGCTGCATCAGGCACAGAGCGGGACTGGCTGTCGAACTGGATGCTCTGCTGTCCACTGGAGTCATGTAAATCCAGCTGGCAAAGAAGCTTGTGATTTGGGTGACATTTCTATGGCCTCATTCAGAATATACTGTAAAATCCTGCAGTTCTGCAGTGGCTTTGGGGAATCTGCAGTCAGGCAGAATACTACATGGACTGTGGTTAAATACGCATGGCTGTGAAAAGATTCAAAGACACAATTATAGCCATGTATGCCTGAGCAATGCAGTTTAAAGACAAGTCTGAGCAGCATCATGACACTAGAAAGTGAACGTGCAATGTCAAGATGATGATTTTGGAGTGAAACACCACTGTAATGGTTACTAAGGGTTTGTTGGGATGGAAGGAGAAGAACAGAAGAAGCAGGCTCAGGTTGGAGCATGCCACCACAACAGAGTATGAGTGATGACATTGAGACGCTTTGATCAGCAGGCATTGAGGGACAGAATGGCAACTAAGAGCTAAAATGTGCAGACGTCTTCCAAGAAGGCCGACACAGAGCCAACCTGGCCGTAAGATTGCATGCCAGATTCACATTCAAGCACTATTCAGATGGGATTAGTTTTAAATGAGGAGGTGGAGTAAAGCAAATCTTGGTAATTTTGGTCCCACCTGAATATTTTTATAGACTGCATGCTTTGTAAAGAATCCAACGCATTTTATTTACCTACTATAAAATAGACCATACATAAACCCCAGGTTATATTAATCCCATGCAAATCAACCTGTCAGTAAAACACTAATATTTCTGTGTAAAAGAGTTTCACAAGTATGGAGGCACTCAAAGAAACATTTACTTGTGTTCTCTGTGCCTAAAATGAAGTCGTTGTATACTATCCTACTTCATGTGTACAAGTCAGAACATTAAAACTACAGAAAGAAGTTTGATTTTATGCAGTGATGTTGACTGTTGGCTGTGAATTCCCAAGCTAATGAACATCACAGATGTCCTGTGGTAAACTGGTATTAATCCACTTCCCCATAGAAAAGTAAACCTGTCTGAATAGTAGTTCAGACACATTACTGAACATACAGTATGACCAAACATTCTGCATTATAAATATAATGGATTTAAAAAGGGTAAAAATAATCTGAGCCTCAGCAAGCTCTGCTCGCCCAGGGCCTCTAGCCTAGCTCCCTGTACACCTGCACCAAGTATTCAGTGTTCTTAATGGTTTGGTTCAAGTGTTACGAGCTAGGATAGAGCAAAAATGTGAACCATCAGGTTGGTCCTGAGGACTGGTTTGAGAAGCACAGTGGTTCCCAATCATGCTCCTGAAAAATGACCTTGCCCTGCATATTTAAGAGGTTTCCTTGTCTAAGGCTATGTTCAGACTGCAGGGAAATCAGATTTGATGATGACTTTGAGGCGACAGTCCGTTATTTGCAAGTGATCAGATTGGATTTGTGTGTGCAGACAACACCAACCTATCTGCACAGGTTGCTGTGGTAACGATGCACGCATCAGTAACTACACAACGACACAGGTGAGGCCAATTTCAAACACAGATGCAGGAGAGATGGAGGTGCTTCCGTCACTCTGGATTTGACATTGCTGTTGTTTTTTTGTTGCGAGTGACGCAAAAGACACTTTGAAATCTGATGCGAGTGTCCAGTGCGTCCAGACTAAGACGCATCTGCAAAAATCCGATTGGGACCGCATTTCAAGCCACCTCCAAATATGATTTGAATCTGACCAAAATTGGATTTCATGTGTTTTTTGCTGTCCAGACTATCAAAAATCAAAGCCAAAAATCTGATTTGGGCTGGCAGTCTGAACAAGGCCTAATACACCCACTTCCTGCTTGTTAATTAGCTAAATAGCTGTGTTGGAGCAGGGAAAACACGAAAATATACGAGGCATAGAACCACCAGGACCACAGCTGGCATCCATTTCTTCAGCATACTGATCTTTCCAAAGAACCGACAAGATCCAGAATTATTTTTGAAAGAGCGTCCGCAAAATGCCATAAATGAAGAACAGAAGCTGACAACTATGGATTTTGTAACAGATGAGTGAGTGCACTCCTGCCCTGGCATCACACCTCTTCCCGAAACGTCCAAAAAGCATTTAAAAGCAACAAACAGGCCATGGGGCAGATGCTGCAGCTCCTCTCTACTAAGCATGTAATGAGCGGCCAATTACGGTGGCTCTTCCATTCGGCGACAGGCCTGCGCCTGAGAGCAGCTCATCAGCGAATCCCTGCTGAAAATTGGAGCCATGGAGACGACAGGTTGGAGAGGCGCTTGCAGACTCCTGTATGTTATTGCATTGTGGGAACAGAGGGGGCACAAGGGGGGGGAGAAAAAAAGAGAAAAGCAAAGTCAGCCCTTTAAAGTCCCTGCCAGTGAGGTGGAGGGGGCTCGGCGAAACACAGCCCCCTGCTGGCTGTCACGCAAGACAAGAACAGAAATAAAATAAATAAATAAATAAACGCTGCGGGGGAAGAAAAAACCTCTGTTCTTTCGCCGAGGTGTTTGGTTTCCTTTGATCAAATGTTTTTTTTTTGTTTTGTGGTTTTTTGTAGGCAAAAAGGAAATGACGTCACAGACGGACATGCACATGCAGGCTCCGCCCCCGCCCTCTCACAGTGGTTCCGCTACTCCATGCCGTTGCGCAGCATCTGATTGGCTGCGATGAGCATGACGCTGATGATGAAGGCCATGGCAAAAGCGCAGATCAGGCTCTTGCGCACGCACGTCTGCCGGTTCTTCTTTTTGGGATGGACTGGAAATTGACACAAAAACACAGACAACAGGAGACACAAAGGTCAGTCGTGAGTCAGTGCAATGTCAAGTAGAAAGCAGCCATGACTGCAAACTCTACAGAAAATCCAAAAGAGATACAAGTGTATGCGCTACCTACACTCTGTACTCGTGTTCAAATTTACACCATTTATGTTAGCTGTAATGTGAGGTATGACAGCATAAGGCAACAGTTTGGTATATAATCAAATTTGCACACTTTTATCCTCATTCTAAGTTGATTAGCCAAGATGTGGTCAAAAGTGCCAACAAATTTGAGGCATCAAGTTGCCAATTACTGTTGTTTTTAGCTCTGTGACGTACTTCTGTCTAATTTTACAGATAACAGTAAGTCAAAGAATGTCAGAAACCCCATAAGCAAGTCTGTTTGAAATTACTTAAAGGTGCATTACTCAAGATTCAAGATACTCAACCTCTAGCAGTTAAACAGACGAACTACAACAACATTGGAATGAATTTTTTTTCTTTTTGGATTTGCCTCCCATTCCCACCCATTAACACAAATCATGCTCCCAGAATTTAAGGTGCCAATCAGAGTTCATTTAAAGTTTGCTAGCATTACTAAGGACTGTCATGACTTCACTCTCTGGTGACAAGGTTGGCTGTTTATTAAGGGTACTACCTTCGTTATTTAGATATAGATGATAAACGCATGTCATTATGCTAACATTGCTTGAGAGGGGCTTAAAATACTTGCTACAGCTTACATCTCAATAGAGCACACTGAGTGTGTTTTTTTCCCCAGCTAATACGATTTTACATGTTGTTAACACAGTGAATACCATGGCTATAGACCAGTTTATTTCAAGGTGGTGCTTTCAGAAACTTAGCTAAAAGATATAAGCATCAAGAGAGGTTTATAATACTGCTCTACGTATTGACTCTGAGTACATTCCGGTGTCTCCTTTGTTCAAGGGTGATAGCAAAGGTGGTGCTGCCTACTAGGAAATAGCGAGGGATGTCACTGTCCAGTTTTTCTTTGTAATGAACTCTCAGGAGTTTTTCAGCAAACTGTCACTAACTGTTTTAGCTAGTTAGCATTGTTAGCAGTGCTGCAGTTGATTTATTCAAAGCATTACTTTACCCATCTCTCTGAGTGACACAGATTTACTTGATTTGTTATCTAACTTTAACAGTTCAGTGCTTTATACATGTTGCATTTACATACCTGTCCAGGGGGAACGTACCTAATTACGAGCCACCTTCACATCTAATAATTCTCTCAATTTTGGAAAAGCACCAGCGTTGATTCCTGTATTAGCATTAGTTTCCCATCATTATTATTTTTTTTGGCAGCACTGCGTGTTCTTTCCCCCAGAGTACAAGAACCTGCTGGGCCAAGTCGCTTACTGGATTCTGCCATGTTTTCTTAGCCAAGCAGGAGATGGTGACGGAGTTATGTGGTGCTGGGGAGTGTCTTATAAAAATGACTGAGAGGAGGTGGACCAACAAGGTAGGAGTGTCTAATAGAGTAGACAGTAAGGGGACACAGTGTTTGCATCAGTGGACAATGTCTGATCCACTTGTACCAGCACAACACACACTAACACGCCACCACCACGTCAGTGTCACTGCAGTGCTGAGAATGATCCACCACTCAAATAATGTTCTATTTATTTTATACTAATACTAATATGAAAAGAAATACATCATCTAATGTACCTTTCAGTGTGTGATGATTTAAGCATTCAATTTCCACAATGTTAATTAGTGGATTTTTCATTACTTGTTAGCTACATTAACATCATTGCTCCAGTGCGAAATTAAAGAGGCACAAATCAGACACCAACCGTATCTTGGCTGATTGTCTACATTTGAGGCAGGAGGAAAAATCAGAGTTTTTGCCAGACTATTCCTCTTAACTTTGCTCTGTCTAAATGGAGGCTAAAGAGTGCTTCACAGGAGAAAAGCCAGGATAGGGACAAAAATGGAAGTCCACATGGGGCACCTGTGGCTTCGCTGGCAGTGCCACACAAGTGTCTGGGGCCATCCAGGGATCCAGGCTGAGAACAGAGTGGTGGTTATTAGACAGATTGCATGGCAGCCTCACCCTGTGATCATCCCTTTCCACTCCAGTCCTCCTTGGGCACACAGCAGCAAGTCGGCAAGCCTCTCTGCCTGCAGCCAATCCATGGCCTGGTTACGGTGGAGGCATGATAATAAGTGAACACAAGCACCCTGTTTTTGCCTATATGTATCTCTGCATTTATATGAGAACAGCTGAGAAGAACTTGTACCTGGCCCCATTCCCACACAGCATGCCGCCTTTCTGTGTTTAATTTTCTATAATCTACTCTTATAGCTCATGAATGCTGGGTTAAGAATGATTAAGCGTCATATGTCTGGTTTCACTCAATCAACAATATTTCTTACAATACCAGAACATGTTCTTTTATAGTGTAATTATCACATTTTATGTAGAAAAAGATGAGCAGTTACTGTCACAGTAAATAGATGAAACATTCTTGTTCTTGGCCATATGTGTTGCCAGGGCTTCTGTCTGGTCCAGGTGCTATCATGAATGATTGATGCTGGCACAAGGCTTCCAGCAGAAGGTGTGCATGAGTGTGCCATTAGGGCAGTGGACATCTGCTGCTGCTCGCAAGCTGGAGAGTTATTGTACAGGAAGAGTATGGAAGGATGTCTCTGATCACTTTAGCAGGTCTGGCTGACACTCTATGCTGTGTGTTCTGCACTGAAAGCCTTTAGAGCTTCCAAAATCTATACTGAGGAAAATCTCCTTTACACAGTTTAATACAAAATCTACTGCATACATTCAAATCTACTCCATGCATTCTCTAACACAGAGAACATTTCTCTGTAATTTCTTCTCTAGAGAACTAGGGAAAACTTCACCTGACTCCATCAGATGAGAAGACAGAGTCTATCTCTCAAACCTACAACTGCAGTGAGCCCATTTCCACCAACTTGCCCTATTGGACCAAAAGTTTACTGTCCTAATAAGAGTGTATACAGTGTTTTTCGGATATAAATACAAATACATATTTCATCAGGGGCACACATTTATTTTTATGCTGCTCTTATTATTATTATTATTATTGTTATTATTATTATAATTATAATTGTTATTATTATATTTACTTGTGCTCTTGTTCTTGGAATCATGTCATGACGCAAAAGCTGTCTATACATGTGTGCTTTAAATTTGCAAAGAACTCATCTGTAGTAATTTTAACAAATATTTGTAAGAGAGAGAGTGAGAATGGAAGGTGCAGTGAAAGTGTGCAGCCTTTTAAGCTCATAAATGCGAGAACACAGAACGATATTTCATAACAAGCTAGTGACTAGTTTTGTCTGCCTTGATAGAGCAAGACCTACAAACTGGGCAACACATCTCCAGTATGAGTGGGTCATAATCGACCCAAGGAAACTCCCTTCAGCTCTTACTCCTACTTCGCTGGCAATTTGAATGCCGCCTCACGCTGCAATAGAAAAACAGTGTTTGGCTAGATATAACTCAACTTACAACTAGATTAGACCATTGTTCTCAGGGGGGGTGGTGTTTGGATATGAAAGACAACATCATGCAAACATCAAAAAAGGCAATATATTTTCAACTAGATTTTTTGCTTGCCCTGAACAATCAGGCAATCATTAATGTTGAACCCTGCCTACTCCCTAAGCGTACCTGATCCCCTCACTTTGCGTGCATCGGTACAATAAATAGTATTCCCAGGAGAAGCATCTGCACTGGCCATTGGTGCATGTGTGTTTTCTCTAGTCTCTCTGGGTCTGGGTTGTTTAAAAAGTGATAAAAAAATGTGATTTGGCTAACGTGCTACTGGAACAGCAGCAAGAGAGGGTGTCTATCTTTTTTTCTCTCTGACTGTCAAAAGGCTCAGCAACAAGCCTACAAGTTCAAGCTGGAAGATACTGTTCTGGTTAAGATCACTCACCTGTCCTATCAGTCTGGCAGGGATTGTATATAATAAATAAACAATCAAGCCTTTTGAACAGCATGGAGACACCCAGCATGCACTATTCAAATCAAGAGCATCAGATTAACTATTAAAACACAGACTGAACCTCATCCAGTTCATTCAGCCTTTGCAGATGTTGACAAGCCTTCTGCCAGAAATGTCATTCAGAACAGGCAAACGCTCACACCCCCAACATGCCAGGAACTGACAGTGTTTATTTCCTCTCTACATGTTCATGGGTGAGGGCATGATTATTCTTAGAGTTGAGTTTCAGGCTGGAAGTGTTCCGAGCCAGCTGTGGCCTTGTGTCCAAATCTTGAGTCCTATTTCTTTTACATTACTAGTAGAAAGCATGCTGAAACTTTGTCCAGTAATATACTTGCACTTCACTGATGGCCCGTAAGGCATAGAATATATTTATAAAAGTTTTGAAAACGGGTGAACCCTTCATTTAACTGCTTCAGCAAGTCTTTATGTACTGTAGTAAATTCTTCTGTGACTCTGGACTAGAGGGGCCTTCAGCTTGACACGGCTGGCCCTGGGAGAGAAGGAGTGACTTTTCCCTCATAAATATGGAAAGGAGCAGGCCAGGTTCTTTAATTTCCTCCTCCTGATTTAATATCTCTGAAAAGAGAATATTCTGTCTCAAGCTGCAGTCCTCTGAGCACATGGGCCATGAATGTAGCATGAAAGGCCTACACATGGAACGGATTCTCTGTTTTCATCAGGAGGAATGGTCAGCCAGAAGGTAAAAGTAGCACGACACACCAGTAAGGTGATAATATTATATGAGAGATCTTTGCTTCCAACTGCCTAATTTGGCTGCCCAGTTAAAGAAGCATTTAAAAGCAATTTATAAACAAAGATGGATATCATGTCCCCACTTACTGAAAGTGTATTTGGTTTGTATGAACATTCAAGGGCACACTCACCTCCTTCAAATTCTGTCTGGCAGTTGCCTGAATTCTCATTCAGGCTCTCCTCCTCGTTAATGATGATGTTTTCGATGTCCTTCATCGTGAGGTGGTCCCGGAAGGCATGGAACAGGATGTGCTTGAGCTCCTCCAATGTTATCCGCTGCATGTCGAACTGCAAAACAGGAGGTGAACAATATCAGGGGCCGCATTCAATAAAACCTTGACTTCTCAGGGTTTCAGGGTTCAGCAAGGCAGAAAGAAAACTATTGACCTGTCACTGTGAACACAGCAGCCTGTGTCAATATCTGGAGATTTTTTTTTGAAGGCATTCATGAAGCCTATACACTCAGACTGAAAGGACTCATTCAAGGCTTCCTAATCAAGGAAGGTTGAATAAAAGGAGGGCACATATGAATAAGACATGCTAGCTGGACTCAAGGACCTTCATATACATTCAGTTTTCCCTCTTTTCTCCTTTTCTCTTCTGCTACTCTATGTCCATGCAGTAAATCCCATTAGAGCTCCTGTGCAGAACTTTAAACTGCTCTACTTTTGCAGGGTTTCCTAATAACAACCAAACGGTAATAAATGCAAACACACACAGAGTTAAACAGAAGTCTGCCCTGGTCTCAGGCTGCAAGATCTTTATACAATATCTAAAGCCACTGGCTGTGGCATTTGCAAATGACAGTGAGAAATTATAACCATCTGTGCATTTCCTGCTAAACCTATGTTCAATATCTTGCACAGACTTTTTCTGTCACCTGTATGAAACTGTGCTTATGTACCATATTTATTTAATCACAGAGGCATCATCCATCGTGCGAATTGATTTTTCAGGGAGAGGTAATTACAGCGCCGGCGGATCAGCGTAACGCCTTATTTACAAAGCTGTCAGGTTAAAGGATAAACAGTCATTTCGGAAATGGTGAGACAACGTAGCTGTTGGTGACAAGTTAACGCGCCACATCATCAAGCCTTTTATGGATAGGAAATTAAGCCTTACAACAGAGAGCGCCAAACTGAACTTTACTTTTCATTTTGATTTCCCAGCAACAGAGACAATTTGGGGCAAACAGAGGAAATAATTCTGTGCGGTATCATAAGAAAGGTTCAATGTCTAGTTTTGGAGTGCTGAAGAAAAATGGATGCAGGGCCAAGCTGCGGTTTTATGAGGCTCATAAGGAGACACAACAGGATATTATAATAGTTGGCAAGCTAATAAATCTGACGGGCTATAAACTGTTACAGCCACAGTATGCACAGTGCCACTGTAAGTTATCATTTTACTGCACTTCTTGCAAGGCAGTAGAAATGAGAAAAAAGAAGTTATATGATTACTTAAACCTCGAACATGACTTTATGTACACTGCAATGTGTGTTAGTGTGATTTTGAGTAACGTTATAAGTACAATACCGGTCAAGCCTTGGGATACATCCACCTCATAGAAGGGTTTTCTTTATTTTTACTCTTTTCCACAACAATCAAGACAACATTTTAAAATAACAAAAGGAATTATGCAATGACCATCGATAAACCAATCAAAGCTCTCTAATACTGTAGATTCTTCAAAGCAGTTCCACTTTGCTCTGATGTAGCTTTGCATTCTCTCAAGCAGCTTCATAAAGAGCCACCTGTCATGCTTTTCCAAAAGAACTGAAGAAATTCTACATGTGCTGGGTACTTGTTGAAAAATTCTTGTTGGGCCATTAAATACAAAATGAATCATTTTTCAAGAAATATGTCTGAGGGGATTAGATATAAGATAATTCACTTGCATAAGGAAGAGGAAAGTCAAAGAGTTCCCAAAACAGGAGTTCAAAAAAGGATGTGTAGCTGTCAAGATACTTACTCAGAAAAGAAAAAAAATAAAATCAAATAAAGTAGCTTGTGTTTGTAGATCAACTGACTGACCACCCTATAGTCCAGATCTCAACATCAGTGAATGTGGATTGTGAGGAGCAGAATATGCAACCAACTTCTCAGACTGAACTTTGGAGGTGCGGAAAAACATCCCTGCAGATTTATTTGGAAAACTGAAGGCAAGCTGGAAAAAACTGAAAACAAAGGAGGCTGTAATAAAGGCAAAAGTTGAGCACATTAAATAATTAAAAAAATACTTTAATTATTGAGGCTGTTGTGAAAAATGAATAATTTGTACCTCATAGCTATTTTGTATAAAAATGTAATAAATTAAGGGTGGTCCAATCAAGGGTTTTTGCACAGTACTGTAAATAAATAAATAATATCTTTAGCAGGTACATTCATAAACAGATATCAACCACAATACTTACTTGTCTTATGAACATATTTCAAACAAATTCACAAGCCTTTGGATCAAAATGTCTAAGAAAAAGAAAAACACATGTTCAGTCAGATGTGTCCAAACTCTAGATTGCTACTGTAGGCCTGACCAGCACTGCTCCTATTTATTACTTCTGTGATTTAATGGGCAGAATTGATAGTGAAGGAGCAGACAGGGAAAGCTTCTATCAACACTGAAGAATTATTGGCACCTAGAATCATTTTCTAAGGCTGAAAAGGAGGCCAACACGCAACAGACTAAACAATCAATGACAATCAATATGATGACGACTTGGCTAAGCTGCCACTGAGTTTTCAAAAAGCAAAAATGTTGAATAGATATTTTCTTCAGCTCTTCCTAAAGATGATTCAAAAAAGAGTAAAAGGTCAGGGCTCGAGGTTCCAAACAGCTTTCTAACACCACACATAACGCTTATTCACCCAACAGGTAAACAGATATGCAAATCCAAAAAGGCTAAGACGAACAATCTTGACTTCTTCCAAAATGCATTCAATACTACCAATGTTTGTGTAACCAAGTGCAACTCAGATTAGGTATCCCGGACACCCTTGGCAAAAAGAACCAACTGGGAGCAAATTAATAGAGGTATAACGGTGCACTAATGTTCAGACGTTTGGAATCACTGATTCAAAAGTTTGGAATCAATTTTTAACCAAATAAAAGCAATTTGGATGCAGACAAGTGTATAAAATGATCATAATGTCAGTCTTGAGCAACTTCACAGGTTTCAAATAATTAGTAGCACACTAGGAAGCTGAAACTAAAAATGAAGAAATTTTACAACATTGTAAATGACTGAGAAAGCTGTCTAGCATTATCGATCAAGAACTGACTTAAATTAATGAACAGATTATTTCAAAAGAGGACATCAAATTTCAAGATAGATAACTTGACAAAACATTAATCTAAGATGATTACAGTAACAGTGGTGAATAGTTTGAGCATTAATCTGTATTGTATAAATTATTATTGTACTACTGTTATACAATAACAATAATAATTAAAATGGCAAGTGATTCTAAACAATGAACATCATGGTGAACAATATCAGCTGTATTCTTTTAAAGCAGCACTATGTAATATTCAGGAAACTGGAACAAGGAACACTTTGTACTGCAAGTTGTGCTTCGGACACAGACAAGTGGATGAATCTGATGATTATGAGAGCAATGAAAGAGTGTCTTGCGAGGATGTAAGTGAAATATCTATTATTATCATCATATCCTCATCAGTATAATGTTAATTTTGCAATTAAGACCTAAACATCGAGTCAGACCTTCAGTCTGGCTGTGTGACATTATGTAAACGTGTATGACGTTGTTTGAAAAACTCCTGTGAAATCTGTCCCAACACCTCTGCCTTTCAAATTATTTTTATTTTTTTATTATTTTAGGTTTTACAGGTCAACTCATAGCAGTGCACCCATACCATCTTTTAATGTGTCTTTTTTCCTGACCCTGCTACTTCTTTCAATTAAAAAAAAAAACTTAAATAGTTTTGCTTTAATTATGTCTGGATAAAAACTGTAATCAACTTTAACCACACTAGCATGTTTAATGTCATCCATTATGCTCCCAAAGGCGTGCCTCCCGCATCAGAGCTCAAGACTCATTACAGATACAATAATCACTTTTGCTCAAAATATTATGAGAATATCAAATTGTGAACCCAGAATCGAGAATCAAAATTGAATTGAGTGTATCACAGCCTTACAAACCAGGCAAAACTGAGAGCTTCCTCTGGAGAATGAGAGCATTTGCCATGTAAAGCAGCCTGGCCCTCTGTGCTGAGAGCTGGGACTGCTCTGGGCTTTTGGTGAGGTGGCACAAACCTCAATGGCGCTGATGTGACCTTTGGCCAAACCACAGCTGAACAAGTGCCATAACTTGGGGGACATTTTTACCCCTGTGGTCAATTGCGGAGCAGTGGACTACCTCAGCCAGCAACCTTTTGGCTAGATAGCAAATTCCATTTTCAGCCTCATGCTTTTTCTTCTTCAAAACTGTGGGGGGCGATTATATATCAAGAACAGAAGTAAGAATGACCTTCAAGGCTTAACAGCAGAACTGGAGGCAGTGACTAATCTCTGTAAAGGTGACTGTGTGTGTATGTGTGTGAATGTGGATCGCAGTCAGAGCACAGCAAGGCACAGTGGTATATGATCTTTTCTGTGTTCTTTGTTTTAACCAATGGAGTGTGCAGCCATAGGTGAACTGAACCTCCACAGAATCGCAAAATTCAGGGCCTTCACAAAGCTGAGGCTCTGGAACTGAGCTTATAGTTTTCCATGTTCTACTCCACTGCACTAATGCTTTAATAAAGTGCAAATCAGAGAGAGAAAATCCACCTCCACTACAACAGAATTCGCAGACAACCTGCACAGCAACACATAGCAGAAAATGCTGTATGAAATATAGACATTTTCCAATATAAACAAATTTTATCATGATAATTAAATATGTTTTAATGTCATAATGATACTACATGCCATTTTTATGGGACAAAATAATTTTAAAAATGTATAAAAATTGAAAAACTCTCACATAATGATGCTTACCATGTATCATTACCATGCAGGACTATCTGCAGTTCCCAGTGGAGTTCAGAACCTTTGCCATAGAGACCTTTACCCAAGCCACTTGTTGAACAAAACCAGGCTCTTATGTAAGGTTACGTATGGTATACTTTTGTGCCTTTTTCACTGCATACACACAGTTTGTAGCTTGTGAGCTGTGTATGTCTTGCTGTGGGTAGGACAGTGCTTGAGTAGTCTGATCATTACAGCTTCCTTTAAGATGCTCATCATAAGTGCTTCGATTTTAAAAAGCTAATTTTAAAGCTTATT